GAATAAAACCAATTTTACAGGTCCAATTTTCAAACACTTTTTCGAGGATATGGTACCGTATGATAGCAATAACGCCACGAATGTTGGCTTCCAAGTCCCCTAACGTTTCTGGTTTGTTGGTGTAGACGAGCGACTTCACAAATTCCCAAAGAAAATAATCCAATGGTGTCAAATCACACGATCTTGGTGGTCAATTGACGGGCCCATTCCGCGAAATTATGCGCTCATCGAATGTTTCATTCAATAATTCGATTGTGACGTGCGCTGTGTGGCATGTAGCTCTGTCTTGTTGGAACAACAACTCATCCACATTCATGCCATCCAATCCGGGAACAAAATAGTCGGTTATCATGGCTCTATCGATCTCCATTGACAGTAGCTGACTCTTCAGCATTATTTTGGAAGAAGTACGGCCCAATGACTCCACCAGCCCATAGAGCACACCAGTCAGTTTTTGTGGATGTAATGGCGTCTCAAGGGTCTCATGTGAATTCTCTTCGCTCCAAATGCGACAATTTTGATTGTTGACGTAGCCATTCAACCAAAAATGAGCCTCATTACTGAACAAAATTCTGTGATGAAAATCAGCATCGAAATGAATCTTATTTTCGGCCCATACACCAAAATCACGACGCATTGCATGGTCTCGCGGCTTTAATTCTTGCACATGCTGGATCTTGTAAGGTCGCAAGCTAAGATCTTTGCGCAAAATCTGCTGTTTACGGTGGCGAATCGATTCGTTCAGCGGAAATTGTTTCTTCGGTGCGCACTGTTCGACGTCTCTGCGGATGCGTATTATCACATAGAGCAAACGTAGTGCAAAAACGATCCATGGTTAACTGAATTAATTGCACCGATGGACGATTATGTCGACCATAAAATGGACGGAGCTTGCGTTAAACTTCGCGAACTGAACCATTGCTTTCGAAATAAATTTGCACGATTTGCAAGCGCTGTTCTTTTGTCAACCTGTTCATGATAAAATGGCAAACCAAACTAAATATTAATCACTTGACAGCTTTCAAAATTGCCTCCAGTTAAAAAATTGATGCCAACTTAAAGTTCTATACCCCAATAAAAACACCCTTTACTAGTAGCCTGAACTAAACCTTCCACAACTTTACCAATGTCTTGAAATTGCGATGTCTTTTCCGATGCTACAGATCTACAAGCGCAGATAAGTCATCTTTCTGAAGCATTTCTCAAATATTAACGGAATTAACTGTTTAGTAAGGTTTGATCCCATTACGAAATTGAAAATGTAGGTGGGCTTAGGGTCTGAGTAGAAGCCTATTGATTTTTGGAGATGATCACAAAATATTAAGAGGTTGAAATGGACCAGAAACAGAACAATTTCCTGATTTTGCTGTTGCTTTGTAAGCCACAATTATAAACCAATCGACGGATTTTCATTAGAGTTTGAGTTTAGGGCTGGGCAGAAGCCTACCAATTTGGCCGGTCATCCGACAATATTTAGCGGGTAAAATGAACCGTATATTTTATGTGAAAAAATACGAACATTTCCAGCAAATCGCGAATATCTTCAATCCCGGCTAAATCACAAATACATTAAAAGGTCGCTTCTGACAGTTACCGTGGTGTTGATAGGGATTTATTTCAAATTTGGTACAATTTATATATAAAAGAAATAGTTCTTAGTTATTCTGCTTTTTAGTAAAGAACCTCTGGTCTGATGTTCAAAATTCTCATCAATTCGAAATGGTCTCTTGCCAGAAAAGGATAAAATCAAAGAAAATCGCATAAATATATTACAATAAAAATGTGAATATTTTTTGTTACATTATTTAAATTTTTGTCATATTTTTTTATCGCATGCGATTTTTTTTTCATTTTCAATTTGACTTAAAATTTTGAATTGTACATTTTGTAAAGTTTTTATACACTATGTTTTTAGGACATTATATACAGATCGCAATTATCGTTCGATCCTCACGAAATTTTCCATGGGGGTACGGTTAGGGTCAGAATTAAAGCCTATTGTTTTTTGAAGATGTAAATTTAGCGGTTCAAAGGGACCTAAAAAATTAAAATTGAAAACCAATTTTAAACCAATCGACACGAAATTTTGCATGCAAAGAGAGTTAAAGACAGGAAAAAAGTCTAAAATTTTGGACGACCATTGGATTATATTTAGCAGGTAAAATGGGCCAAAACTTTTGTGTGAAATAGTTTTGAATACCTAGAGAGGGTGAGTGTAAATATGGGTCGAAAACAAATTGTCAAATGGCCCACTCCATGATTTTTTGTGGGGATTGAAGTCTTTTGTTTATTTGAATGAACCAGCAACGATTGACGTTTTGGAAACCCATATTCAACGTATCATTGCTGAAATAAATAACAACCTCAAATGCTTGAAAAGGTGATCGAAAATTGGACCTTCAGAGGGACCTTTGTGCAAAATAGTCGTGGTGATCATATATCCAAAATAATATTTAAATGCTAAATAACAAAAAAGTATCTAATAATTTGGCGTGTATTTTATTTAAATTTCAAATCTGCAAGTTCTTAGAAAATCAACCTTTAAATTCACTTCTAAGTACATACCTTCAGATTTTTTGTATTTTATAGGCTTAGGGATCTCATTAAGCCCAAATTCTTATCGCAAAAAACTTTAAATATATGGATTATTTTATATAGTCTATTATAGAGGTAACATTTAGATTTTTGGTACATTTAAGATTTCTACAACAATTTCGGGTAACACACATCTGACTTACCAAAGATGTTCGATAAAGGTCCACTATAACCCCTACTCCAAGGTACGTCCTGATTTTTGTTATTTTTAATGTTTCACCCCCAATATCGAACCGAATTGTCGGTACCTCCTCTCAATAAGATCGATTTTAATGTTAAGAAGAAAATAAGCTGTAAATTTGGCCGGGCCGAAATTTGAATATCCTCCACCATTAGGAACGAATTTGGAAATTTTCAAAAAATAAAATCCATTAAAAATTCTATTAAAATCTTAAAAATACCGAATGTAGCCCTTATATTAGGGTCTATACGACAACGTGGACCTGCATATGCAACTTTTGTCATAAGCCATTACGACATTCAAAAGCAAAACTTGAAAAACAAAATTCGGTGAAAAATTTAGCTAAAATCATCACAATACCGAATATAGGGAGGTACCGGTATATGGGAGCTATACGAAGACATGGACCTGCACAGACAATTTTCTGTCTTAGACTGTAGTATCCATTACGAATGAAAACACCAAATTTGAAACAACTCCGGTGAATAATGTCGCTAAAATCATCAAAATACCGAATGTCGGGAGGTACCGTTATATGGGGGCTATACCAAGACGTCGACCTGCAAAGACAATTTTCTGTCTTAGGCTGCAGTATCCATTACGAATTTCAAATACCAAATTTGAAACAATTCCGGTGAATAATGTCGCTGAAATCATCAAAATACCAAATATCGGAAGGTACCGTTATATGGGGGCTATACGAAGACGTAGACCTGCACAGACTATTTTCTGTATTAGACTGTGGTATCCATTATGAATTTCAAATACCAAATTTGAAACAAATCCGGTGAATAATGTTGCTAAAATCATCAAAATACCAAACCGTTATATGGGGGATATACGAAGACATGCACCTGCACAGACAATTTTCTGTTTAAGGCTGTAGTATCCATTACGAACTTCAATTGCCAAATTTTAAACATTTGCGGTGAATAATGTCTCTTAAATCACCAAAATACAGAAAATAGGGAGGTACCATTATATGAGGGCTATACGAAGACATTTTCTATCTTAGGCTGTAGAATCTATTACGAACTCTAAATACCAAATTTGAAACATTTCCGGCGAATAATGTCGCTAAAATCATCAAAATACTTAATATCGGGAGGTACCATTATATGGGGGATATACCAAAACGTAGGTCCATGGTCCATTTTCAATATCAAAAGTCCTGCGGACATAACATACATTTGAGTAAAATTTTATACTTCATTTAATTCGGAAACTAGAGTGATTTTCAAAAACGGACAGACGAATAGACGGACGGACATCGCTAAATCGATATAGAATTTTATGCTCATCAAAAATATATATACTTCGTGGGTTCTAAAATGTATATTTCAAGGTGTTACGTTCGTAATGACAAACTTAGTATACCTTCCATATTATGGTGGAGGGTATAAAATGCTACTCGAAGTCATTTACGATACATATTGATGCACTTTTAAGTGTCACTCCATTTCGGCTTTGAACACAATTTCCAACCGATTTAAATTTATTCCGTCATTTCAGTTTAGAAATAAATAAAAACATACTTCCCAATTAATATGGTGTAAGTTATTTAATAATGAATTAAGTTCTAGAATCTGAATATTTGAGATTGAACGCCAGGGTCTCTTGGGCCAAATATGACAGAAAACAAATATGAAGTGGGAATCGATTTTTAATTGTATTAACATCAAAAATTTCATTTATGAGGTTGAATCGACCTTTTACTGGAACTCTTGCTAATTGGCTCAAAATTCACAAATCTTCAATTAGAACATGCTTTTTTGATATGCCGATCCACAAACTTCGAGAATTGAGGCAACCTAATTTAGTGGGTATTATGAAGTCGACTTTGTCTAACAGAAAACATTTTCACTTGTTTTGGATTCGTTTGATTCTCATTTTTGTTATTATTTGCAACTGGCGCTGCTGCGGGCAAAGCTTTACTTTGATTCCGACGCAATTTCAATATAAATGTCGTACATACAGCCATACAAACAAACACAGACTCACATGCCACCTTCCTTGCACCGCGGCAGACATAAACTTAAACACAGGCTTGTTGAGACCCAATACGTACACACACACAAACAAACGTGGCTACACAGCCAGCACAAGAACGTGAGTGATACAAGCAACCAACAAAAAGCATACTTTGAGACTTGAACGCCGCGCCGCCTTCACACACCCTGTTTTAGATTTTTTTTCTTCTCCTTTTTTTGCTTTCATTACTCACATCAACAACAAAAATTACACTTGGTAGACGACATTTTTTTAATTATTAAATTTATTTTATTATTTTTTTCAATATTTTTTGTATTCAAAATTTATTCTTCAAGCAGAAGTTTTGGAATTTTTCAATCACTTTTTTATGGAATTTTTATTTAATTTCCCTTTTAAAGTATTTTCTTTTATTTATTTTTTTGATATTTCACATTTTTTTCCCGTTTGGCATTTTGAAAAAGCCGCTCTTTATTTTTTACTTCATTTTTATGGCGCCCAACCGAAATTCTTAACTTCATTTTAAACAAACACTTCCTCTTGGATTTGGTTTCTTTTGGGCCAACAACGAAATTCCTTTGTGGCGCACATAAAACTCCATCTAAACGCTTTGTATGCCGACGATAAACTGAACTTGCCAAACATTTGAAAGACTTCTCAAACGTTTGCAGAACACCGAACAGCTGAAACAGACACACTTCAGACGCCAACGTACTGCCAACGCCACCACTGAGCAGTGGCCAAACTTTGAAAACACCGAAACTCATTCACTCGCTGGAACGTTATATGGCGTTATTTCCTCATTACTACTACTTGGCGTCCTCGGCAACGTTTACGTACGTAATGTATCTAGATACTATTGGGGACGTTGACGTTGGCGGCTCCGTCAATGTACCCCATGTCGTTTGTTGTATTGTTACTTCCTTTTCCTCCTCTCAGCTGTTGATGCCGACAGTATTGCTTTGTTCCATCCATCCATCCTTCGTTAGTATTCCATGAATGACTGGCTGGCTGGCTGGCTGGCTGGTTGGTTGGATGGTGGCTGCTTGCTTTGCAAAATGCCGGCATAACTTAATTCAATCCTCTCTCTTTATCTTACCCTCTTCGCCAACCATCCATCATCAGTCATTTCTTGTTTGCGTGTTTTCCTTTTGTTTATTGCATTGAATCGCTTGAGAAAAAACAACCATGCTTGTTTATCTCTCTCTCTCTGTTTCTCTCTCGTTCGTGCTTTTACTCTTTCTCATCTTGGATTTTGTTTTGGTTCGTAATTTTCTCCATAACTGCAAGCTCAACATAGTTGTTGTTATACCCACGCGCTTTTTGCTTTAAAATTGTAACAGTGTTGTTATCCCTGATGGAGTGATGCAAAAACGCCAAATATTATATCAGTCAGAATCGCTCTGATAAGAAAATTTCATAAAAATAGTCTTATTTACTTATGGACTATATAAATAAGGTTATAACCATTGGCGTAGCTAATACCTCCCCAGAAAAATATATCAAAACCCCCATCCCACAGGATATTTTAGCCAAAAATTTTATAATTGGTTAATGCACGTAACCACATGATTTATTGTAGAATTACTTTTTAAAAACATTAACCAGTAAAGAAAGTCTTAAAGTCGGGCGGGGCCGACTGTATGATACCCTACACCACTTTGCTAATTAAGTAGAGCTCCACATAACAATTAAAAGTTTTTATGGGAGAATTCAATCATACACGCTATGATTATAATTATAATTTAAAATTCAAAGGACTAAATATGCCGAAGCATTTGTATCTTTTAAATTCGGACTTGTATTGCCCATTTGGTGCGAAATAATTTGAAATCGGATAAAAATATATATATGGGAACTATATCCAAATCTGAACCGATCTCGATAAAATTTGGCAAAGATATTTCTGAGCTGTATTTGATATATTTTCCTGAATATAGTTGTTACGGAGTGCATATTACTGTTGTGGGTAACAAATATAACAAATCGGATGAATAATATATATGGGAGCTATAACTATATCTGAACCGATCTTCACCAACCAACCAATTGGCATACTAGCTTCTAGACTCAATTCGGTCCAAAGTGCCAAATCTCATCCCATTTGGGCAAAAATTAGAAGTTTTTGTGCACAATAAAAGGTAAATCGGACGATGTTATATATGCGAGCTATATCCAAATCTGAACCGATCTCGATAAAATTTAGAAAAGGTATTTCTGAGCTGCATTTGATATATTTCCCCAAATATTGTTGTTACAGAGTGCATATTACGGCTGCGGAGGACAAAAATAACAAATCGAATGAACAATATATATGGGAGCTATAGCTATATCTGAAACGATTTCGATAAAATTTGGCATACTTATTTTCAGGCCTAATATGGTTGTATGTGTAAAATTCCATACTATTCGGGCTGATATTACACGTTTGGTGTACAATAAAAGGCAAATCGGACGAAGATATATATGGGAGCTATATCTAAATTTTAACCGATTATTAACCGAGATTTAACCGATTAATTTCAATAGGGTTCGTCCTTGGGCCAAACAAATGTTGTTAGCAAAATTTCATCTCAATCGGATAATAAATGCGACCTGCATTTTGTTCACAAGAATACGTGGACAGGCGGACGGACAGACGGACTGACATGCATAAATCAACTCAGAAAGTGATTCTATGCAGATCATCAAAGGGAACTATGGGTCTATCTCGTTTCCTTTTGGCTGTTACAAACAAATGCACAAAGACACAATACCCTGACCACCTTGTGGTGTAGGGTATAAAAAACGAACATTTTTTGGCGAAATTTTTATGGATATAATCGTCCGATTTACCTTTTATTGCACACCAAACTTCTAATATTTGCCCAAATTGGATGAAATTTGGCACTTACGACCGAATCAAGTCTAGAAGCTAGTACGTCAAATTCGGTGAAGATCGGTTTAGATATAGCTATAGTTCCCATATATACTGTTCATCCGATTTGTCATATTTGTTACCCACAGCCGTAATATGCACTCCGTAACAACGATATTCAGGGAAATATATCAAATACAGCTCAGAAATATCTTTGCCAAATTTTATCGAGATCGGTTCCGATTTGGATATAGCTCCCATATATATTTTTATCCGATTTCAAATTAATTGTGCACTAAATGGGCAATACAAGTCCGAATTTAAAAGATACAAATGCTTCGGCATATTTAGTCCTTTGAACTTTGAATTATAATTATAATCATAGCGTGTATGATTGAATTCTCCCATAAAAACTTTTAATTGTTATGCGCAGCAATGGGGCTACAATCATGGGCACGTTGCATCTTCTTGATGATACTTGAAGCTGGACCGGGTGGTTTGTGCAAGTTTACTTGTTCTTCTATGGAAGAAAAGCATCAGAAATTATAGATATATGATATATATATACGATTACCGCATAATGATATGTCCTGATATGGTGACGTAATATGTTTATACCCTCCACCTTGGAAAGGAGGGTATATTAACTTTGTCATTCTGTTTATAACATCACTAAATATTCATGGTAGACCCCACAAAGTACATATATTCATAATCAGCATAAAATTCTAAGTTAAATTATCGATGTCCGTCGTTCTGTCTGTGTGTCCGTCTGTATGTTGAAATCACGATACAGCCGACATTTGTTGACGAAGAGCAGAACAAATTGTATGGTATCTAGGATGGTTGGTATTGAAAATGAGATATATCGGTCCACGTTCTAGTATAGTTCCCATATAACGGTACCTTCCGATATTCGGTATTTTTTATGATTTTTGCCACTTTTTTTACGGATTTGTCTAAAAATTGGAATTTGTTGGCCATGATGGGTTCTAGCTCCGGTGTCGAAACATTGTATGTATAGGCCCACGTTTTGGTATAGCCCCCATATAAAGGTACGTCCCGATATTCGGTATCGATATTTTCGATATTTTAATAAAATTCGATATTCTAATAAAAACTTGTAGCTCTGAAAATTGTTATTTGTAGTGCGAAATGGGTTCTAGCTCAGGTGGAGGAACGTGGTATATAAAGGTCCACTCTTTTGTATAGACCCCATATAACGGTTCCTGACGATAATCTGTGTTTTGAAGATTTTTGCTAGAATTTTCCACGGATTTGTCCAAAAATTGGTATATGTAGTTCTTAATGGGTTCCAGTTCCTGTGGCAGAACATAGTATGTATAGGTACACGTTTTTGTATAGCCCCATATCACGGTATTTTGATGATTTTTATGTCTAAAATGTGGTATTTGTGGTGCGAAATGGGTTCTAGCTCCAGTGGCAGAACATTGAAAATTTAGGTCCACGTTTTCCTGTATTACCGACCGATACCCACCGATACTCGTTGTTTTAATAATCCTAGACACATTTACCCACATAATTGTTTCAAATTTGGTATTTTAGAAGATTTGATAGATGACAATCCTTGAAGTATATAATTGTCTATAGAGGTTCCCGTTTTGGTATGGCCCTATATAACGACCAAAAGGTCTTACTGGTATATGAAGTTTAAAGTGAAATACTCTTGAATTCAGATACTTTTATAAAAAAATGTTTCCTTTACCCTAAGGTTTAGGGTATTAAAGGTTCGGCCCGGCCGAACATAATGATTTTTACTTGTTTCTACTACAAACGCCGTAAATTGAATCAAATCAACAATGAGATGTCCCATCTTTATATACGTTTTTGGCTCTGTTTATTATGCTTATACTGTTAAGCTGACATCGGCTAAGACAGCTGTATTAAAGCTTTCATTAGTGTATGCACAGACCGAATAAAAGCTTTGCACAAGAAGGGTGTCGCACAAGGAATTTATCTTAAACATTTTTTTTAAGCTGATACGTAAATGCCCCCCTCGTTTTCCAATACTGTAAATTTCAAATGTAACTGAAAAGATGAATAAAAGTACGTTTATACGTTTTAGAATACACCAAAAATGCGAAAAACTCAATAATAAAGAAGTTATATCCAAAATAAGAATATGAAATGTTCACTATTAAAAAAAGAAAACTCAAATATTGACATTTCAAGGCTTTTATTGCATTTTTTCAGTCTATTAAACAAGAAACATAACTTACTTTAAAATAGCAAAAATACTTAAACTTTTAGAGATTTTTAGCGTGTTTTTATTCAGTTTTTAAAAAATTAAAAATATCATGTTTTAAAATGGCCATAACACCTTTAATATTGACATTTTGGGGTTTTTAGCTTCTTATATCCTCCACCTACTAAATTTTCCATACCGTTTGTAACACCCCTGAATATGCGTCATAGACCCCATAATATATATATACAGGGTTGCCCATATTCAACGGACCCATGTTTTTTTTTAATCAAAGAAAAAAATAAAAATTTGGCGGTTGGCAATGTTAATCATTTAATTTGTTCCAAGTAGATTTGTTTACATCAATTTTTGAATATGATATCTCTCAAATGGCCGCCTCTGGCGTTGATGACGTATTGTGCCCTTTTTGCTGCATTTTCCATCGTTTTGCCAACATTTCGGCCGGAATAGCGGCTATTTCTTCACGAATGTTGTCCTTGAGCTCTTCTACGGTCCTTGGCTTGTTAACGTAAACCTTTGACTTCAAATATCCCCACAAGAAGAAGTCAGGCGGCGTCAAATCGGGCGAACGCGGTGGCCAGTCCAAATCAAACAGCCCGGAAACAAATTCTTCAGAAATCGATTGTTATGCAGAAAATCGATTGTATAGCGATGTCCGTCTGTTGAATTTAATTTGCTTTTTACACCCTACAACACTATGTGTTGGGGGTATTATAAGTTTGATTGGGCCAAAAATTATGTAACACCACGAAATATTGATTTCCCACATAGGAAAGTAGATATGGATCTTTCTATCTCGCCTAGCTGAAACGATCCGTCTGTGCATGTTAATTTGTAATCACTCAACAGGTCACAATTATGGCCCGATATTCTTGAAATTTAAAATGTAGGTGGGGTTAAGGTCAAATTTTCCATTAAACCGCGAATATTTTTAATGCCTGCGAAATCACAAATAGACGAACAGGTCAATCTTGACATTTACGTAGATGCC